CTAAACCCCTAAACCCCTAAAAACAAAACCCCTAAACCCCTAAACCCCGAAGCCCTAAACCGCTAAACCCTAAACCTCAGTGTCCAGGGTCAGGTCGGTTCAGGATTTCGGGTTGTTGGGCTTTGTTTGCGTAGGGCTGAGAGGTCGGAAGTAGGGATTTTGACTAAGGTTGCTATGAGCGAGCTGCTTGTGGTGTGTTGCGCATCGATGAGAGGAGACCTGTCTGTTTAGGCCTTGGAAACAGGGTTGAAGACTCATGTTCTTACTTTCAAAGGGTTCAGGCTGTTCAGGAGTCGGCAGTGGGGATGGAGGGTTTAGAGGTTGTCAAGGCACGCAGGACCATAGCATAGAAAATCTCTACGATCCGCCTCAGTGCTGAGCTGACGTAGTCGTTGGGTCTCCCTGCAATAACAATGGAAATATTCAGGGAAATAACGCAAAGCTGCGCTTTGCAAGCTTCATCGAACGATGACTTCCTTCTCTGTAGGGGTTGAGGGTTCAGAGCTCAGGGTCTAAAGTCGTTTAGGGGTTCGGCCTAGTAGGGTTGAGGGTACATATGCTTATCGAAACAGAACGATGGCATCCACTTCCACACGCCGGCAACCGGAATGCAAACTCCGACAAGATCTGACCAAATATTAAGAGTCGCATGAACGCCGTCGCGTGCTTGCCCTGAAGCTCCAAACAAGAATGAGTGGAGAATGCTAACTAGGTTCCCCAGTAGCCCCTTAAGGATAAGGGTACCCTTTTTCCTGATACTTGGTTTTAGTAGGGAACCCAAAAGGAAAAAGCCACAACAGCCCAGGACCCAGTGCTAAGCTTCCGAAAGTCACAAAAGAGATTCAATTGGTTGTTAAGCGACCGGATCGGAAGACTGGGTTCACATCCGACGCCAATGCTTGGAAGGACAGGAGCGTCACCTCTCAGCTTTGGACTACTGCTGCTGCTGCTGCTACTACTACTACTGCTACTACTACTACTACTACTACTACTACTACTACTACTACCGCTACTACCGCTACCGCTGCTACTGCTGCTACTGCTGCTACTACTACTACTACTACTACTACAACTACTTATTACTAGTACTACTGTAGGTACTACAAGTACCTCATGCCTCAAGCCGGGTTTGTCAAAGGCACGAAGCATTGTGACACATGGTGGCTGATCAAGTGCCGTTTGAGCGCCTCGCATGTGAGACCTCTTTTGTCGACACCGGTCCCTACGAAATCAGGATGCCACTGCAGAGCGGCTGTTTATATATCATTCGCCATGATTTTGCTAGATTGCCGTCGCTGGCTCAGCTAAACGTCTGTCCCCAGAAGGTGAGAACGGAAACACACCGCAGAGCCGTCAAGGGCGAGAGGCGTCTATCACGATGATGAGGATGTCAGCCAACAGCCACGACCTCATGTAGAGCTTCGCCAGCTGTAATGGCCTCGTTTCAGAGCGGCTGGCAAAGTTAATTGTGATCTCTTTCATTCTAGTGAGCGTAGCCAAGATTCCCCAAGGTAGGGAAGCGAGTCGGTTCGCAGGGGATTTGTGTCAAAAATGTCGAAAACTACGACGCATGTTCTGAACGTTGGGCTGGCTTGGGGACCCCTTTCACTGTGCAAGGCTTGTCCTTCCGAAATTCCTGCGAAACTTCCGGCTCTCGGGGTTTAGGGTTTCGAGTAACTCCAAGAGGGAAGAGGGAGACCCAAGCTGAATAGGAAGGAAGGGCATCGATAGTAGGGTTCAGGGTTGAGGGCTTAGGGGGCATCGATAAGGGGGGTATTTATGGTTTCCGCTGGGCTCGGGTATGCGAACATCTGTACTCGTCAATTATTTATATGCCATGCAAGTACGTTGGGCGGGCCTGCTGTCGATGAGTTGATTGGGAAAGATGTTGAGACTCTCAGTGTGGAAGCGGGGTGCATTTCTACGGACCCGAAAGTCCAAAGTACATAAACCCCACTAAACCCCAAACACCAAGCCTTGGCACCTACAACGTAATATGCTCTAAATATACGAAGCAAGGAGCCCATAGACCCTAAATCCTAGAAGCTAGAAGGCACGACTCAGCCAATATTCGGGCCTGCAAAACTTAGAACAGTGTTTGGCACTGGAATCGGACGACCAGTCATCCCAACCCGCACAAGAGCATCGTTGAACACTTTGGGGTGAAGGATCCCTGCCACATGTGAAGAGGTGCATGGCGCAGCGCTCAAGCTACAATCTCTGAATTGGACGGGTCTTGCTGGACCCTACGTTTTCGATTTCCTGCACTCGCCTCAGCTCGATCGCGCCGCCCGTCTGCACTCCAAACAGGAAGTGCAGTGGCACATCGACAATCCAGAAGACCTGGCTACAACAACAAACGACCACGGAAACAGCCTATAGAACGGTCGCAAAACAAACCCCAAACGAATCCTAGTCTTATGTTGGCCCTTGGAAGTAAGGTTTGGGGCAGGGCGTTTACCCAGACCACCGGGAGGATCCAAAAAATAGATCCTCTAAGGGGTTCCTATGAAGTACCCTTTAGTAGTTAGGGTCCCAAACGAGGTCGTTTGGGATATACTTTCTAGATCCTCCCGGTGGTCTAGGTACGTAGTGGATGGGCATGCCAGTGACCCAACGTACACACAGCGGCTGGTTCAAGATTTAGCGGGCAGGTGTTGTCCCTGGGTTCAAGCAAATGAACCCAGGCTTTGTGGACTAATGCACTATAAACTTGGAGCTTTGATTCAATGGCAGTGTATGACGTTTTGCTGAAACTCTTAACTTTCATCAACCATCCGCATGTTGGACCGACTATTGGCTTACCTTGAGGGCTTTTTTCCTTGAGTTCAAAGATGGTGAACTCCCAGGGTCTGGGTTTGTAGGGTCAAAGCTTCGAGCCTTTGATAGCGGGGTAGCTCTCTAAATCAGGGCCCCCTTCTAGGGCCCTTTTTATAAAAGTACCGCACTATTTGGGGGTTTCCGAAAATAGGGGACCCTAATATAGTACCCTAAATAGTAAGTTCCTTATTATAAGGACCCCAAAGTAAGGTACCCTTATTTTCGGAAACTCCCATTTGGGGATATAAAAAAGGGACCCCAGTTTAGAGAACTACCCAGTGAGGAGCGGAATCCTTCTGGCTTGACCGGGAGTTTCGTAAAGTCCAATGGAACTCTTGGTTAGACTTCCCAGAGGCCCAATATCTCTTAATTAAGGAAGATACCTTAAATTATAGTAGGATCCTTAATATGATTTAAGGTATATTCCTTTATTAAGGGATATTGGAGTCTCTGGGTTCCCTAAAAAAGGGGATTCCGCTTCGAAGGGGATTCTCTATTGGAGGATTCTAGGGAAGCAGCCAACCAAAGCGACGTAAAACAAACTTCCACTGTCCTGGCCTGGATGAAAGAGCGAATAAAGTTTTTTATCCCCAGTACTGTTGCCAAAGTACGGAGGAGATCACGGCCACGACCGTAATCACCTGTCAGTTTTGGGGCCACGGCTCCCTCAATCGTACTAGACCCTAAACCCAAAACCCAAAACCCTAAACCCTAAACCCTAAACCCCCTAAACCCTAAAACCCTAAACCCTAAAACCGTGGACAAACAACGGAGCTCTTGGCAGAAACGCGGGTTTTGGGGACTGAGGTTCGGGCCTTCGCGGAGTTGCAGCACCCACACCCTCATCCCGGAACCCCGAGCCATAAACCTTGCATCCCAAGCTTCGAAAGCTAAGCACCCGCGAAGTTGCGAGCCTGGCCAAAGACTTGGTCCACAGGGAACATCTCCAGGGGAATAGTGGCGGTATCCCAGATGATGAAGCACGTGGCCATCATGGCCCACACAAACTGGACCTGCCACGTCCCACTGGCATGAAAAACATTTGATCTGGGTGACACTGAAAGGCCGTCGCACGGCACTTGCACAAAGCCTTTCCAAGACGCCTCTCCAGGGTTCTCCACCTTGAACCACTATGCTACTATAAATTTCCTCCGGATGGGCCAATTCCTCCACCAGCCAGGCAAGGGTAATCGTCCATTCTTGCATTCCGTGCCTTCCGTTTCGGTGGTATAGTGCCTGTTGTTATTGTTTCGAATCAGCCTTCTCCTCCTATTGCCACTACTCCTACTGCTACTGCTCCTACTCCTACTCCTGCTACTACATCTTCTACTGCTGCTGCTGCTGCTACTACTACTACTACCACCACTACTACTCAGCTACCGCTACTGCTACTGCTACTGCTAGTGCTACTGCTACTGCTACTCCTATGTTGGTGATCAGGCTGCCGTATG